AAGGAAGGAAAAGGAAAAGGAAAAGGAAGGAATCAGTACTTCTGTATAATTTCTTACGTTAATGCTTACCTGAGCTCTGGACTACAGTACACAAGCTTACAGGCCAGAAGACAGGCCAAACACTGTTACAAAATGGGTTTGTTTCAAATTAAAAATTAAAAAAAAAAAAATGGGGGAGGGAAGCACAATATTAAATCCTACAAATATTTGCAATACACATGAAATTGTGAACTTGGCACTCCCTTGCTTCCACTCTCTTTGATCCAGCAGCATGCTTAGGTAGTCTCTGATGGACCAGACCGTCCATATATAGCAAAGCACTTCAGTATGTGATTATCATTAAGCATTCACTTATGAGCTTTCCTAAATAAGTCTGGATATAAGCATGAAGTTAAGTGCTTGCCTGAATTCAGGTCATAAGTATGTGCATATGTTTTAATTAGGCTTGGCAGGATTTAACTTTTATTGGTAAACATTAATAAATATCAATTTCATCTCACACTCACAGACTGACAAAAAATATTTCTATTGTTAATAATTGACATTTATAGAAAGGGGATGGCTGAGGGAGTGTGTGACGACAGCGGGAGCAGCACATGCTGTCTGTAATTTGGACTGCAACCTCCAGAAACCCCAAGGGACTGGGAACAAAGGAAGAAGGAGTGACAAAGCAAATGCAGGAGCTACGAGCAAGTGGATCCGGGAATGATGGCAGCTCTTCTGCTCAGTGTAGGTGGCAGTCCTACACCCCCCATGTCCCTAATTTCGTGCAATCCTGAAAATGTAAGTGGATAAAAATTAAAACAAATGCTTAAAAATAAACATCAAAATTATCTGTCAAAAATATTAAAAAAATAAAAATCTAGTTATGCCAATCCTACTTTTAACATATGAAAAGCCCCACTGGCATCGAAGGGACTTGCTTTTATGTTTGGGGTGAGGAATGTGCTTAAGTTGCTTAGCCAGATGAGGGCTTTTCTAGCAAAAAGCACCTAGAAAAATCAAGAAAAAGGACTCAAAGGATTTTTTCTATTTTGGTGGTGGAAGAGGGGTTAATAAAATAATTTGCAATACATGCTGTAAAGGCAAAGCCAATTTACATGAAAAAATTAAATGCTCCTTTCCAATTGGTCTTAATCATTCTTCAGATGGGTGATGTGTTAATTTTGTGGCACAGTAAAATCTCCTTTGGTGATCACAGTGCATTCCATTTCTGATGGGGACAGTTAGAAGTCAATCATTTGTGATAGCCCTGACAAAAGACATTTCTCCAAAGCAAACATTCTATAAAATACATGTTTCTCTAATTATATCAGACAAACTTCTGCCCGTAATGCCTACTTTCCCAGCTTTTATGGGCATCTGTTGCTTTAATACTGGAAAGAGGAGCTGGCCAGTTAAGAAATGAGAGAGGCCAGAGAGATTCAATTTCCTATAAAATAGTTCCCCACAAGCTGTTTAAACTTTCGTTAGTTAAAGCAATACTCTGAAGGTTTTTGAGATTTTCAGTGCAATACTTACAGTAAAAACTGCCTGCGTTTTTACTGCCCAGAGGGCTCTGCAAACACACCAGATTTATGCCTTTCCCTTCCAAAATAACCCCATGTTCCCAGCTGCAAAATTAATTTAAATAAACATATAGAAGAAAGGAACAGACTCGCATGGATGGTTTTTTGAGTAATCTCTAATATCTACCATAAATCTGCTCCCTCAACTCCTACTCACACACTAACACTTTTATCACACACACATACATACACACACATACACATCCTCTTCTCTTTCATACCACATGCTATCCCTAAATACACCATAATGCATATAATGTGGGTGCACAGAGTTGTTGGTGACAAAGTGCTTAAAGTCTGGCAATTTGCTACAAAACTTGCAATGGGGATTCTGTGTTTATGCATGTAATGCCTAATTGATGAGTGACTGAGAAGTTTGTGTCATGATTGTTCTTTATCTTTTTATGTGCATACTGCTTGGATTACAGCACGGGATTCACTGTCACTTGGATTCTGGTTTCCAGTAAAGTTTTGATTATTAGCAAAACCAAAGTCGTTATATTAAAACCTGCATTCTTCTGTGAATACAGCACAAATATTGCTGAATCGATTAATTTTGCACCTAGGGCATTGGTAAAAACACTTATGTATCGTATCATCACCAAAATGCTTTTAGGAGAAAAATGGCCATGTTAGTGATGCTGCAGCCACCCTACTTGTCAGGTTTCCCATCTTTTCAGAGGTTCAGATGCAAACTGTATTCAACAGGCAGACTGGAATGCAGTCAGGGAATGTATTTAGTTCTAATGGTTTTCTTTTTAAATGGTTTCAGCTGTTTGAATTAATAGCAATTAAAAGAAGGAAGGGAAAAAAAAGAGAGAATCATACAAAAATGTCAAGCTCCTCTCTCCTTTCCATTCCCCACAACCCTTATTCCCCAGCCTACCAGCTCAGGTCCTCGCTGAAAAAAAGGTTTTATTTTCCTGGAATTTAACAGCAGCAAGTTAAAAAAGCGATTTTTACTCTTGTTGATGAAAAGTCCATTACAATTATAAATGGAAGAAGGGGCTACAACTTACTGAGTCTCCTTTATGACTTTAATGGTCTCTGGCCAAGTTCTAAAGGCATTCACATTTATTGAGGAAGGGCCTCTGTGCTCCCTGTGAGAAGTTTCCCATTTTATTTTCCCCACCCTACCAGCACCACATCACTACAAAGACCACACTTCCCCCTGATCCTAGTAAGAAGACCAGGATGCTTTGCTCTAAATGTCCATCAGTACAACTGCTCCGCCAGTCAAAGGAGTCTACATAAGAAAATGAGAATTGACGTTTACTGAGTCAGATCAATAGTCCATCTTGTCCAGTATCCTGTGTCACGCGGTCACCAGGAAGAAGTCCCTGGCTGGGAGGACTCCCAAGGACTGCAGTGTCACTTTCCTGTCCCTCATTTGCTCATGTTTCCAGGCAGAGTTTCACTGGACTTGTCTGAGGGCTAGCGGGCACTTTCCAATGGGCTCTGCTTGGTGTACCCACTCGGTGCATTCGTTCTAAACCTCTGACCTCCACCCCCGCCCATGGTATGTTTGCAGTTTCCCCAAGGAATCAGTTGTTATGTCTTTAGTGGCCTCCCTCTTAAGGGAGGCTTATAGTATTATTTGGTGGGCCTAGGCCCATGCCCAATGGCATAACAAACGAGTCTGTCTCTCACAGGGGCAGTAAGTGAAAATGCTGAAAGGGAAAATGACCTGGGTATGACCAGGATTTTTCCCCCCACAGCGTTCCTCTCTCACTTGCAGTCTCCAGCATTTTAAGAAGGCTGCTAAACTGGAGTTTGTAACAGCAATAAGAACTAGAGGCAGCAAACAAACTGTGGCTTCACCAAAGCACTGTGGGCACATGACTACCATTTACCGGGTACTGGCTCACAAAAGTAGTATTTCATTCAGGACTTGCCCCATGGAGAACAAAGCAGGCCTTCTGCACACAAACATGAGGAAAAGGCAGCACAAACTCTGGTAGAAACTACCACAGACAAATAAAAACAACAAGACTCACTAATCTGCGATAGTCCTTAAAGCGGACAGTGTGGTTTTATTCTGCCAATATGCAGAGGATTAAGGGCTTTTATTCGAAGCTATTAATGATCTCAACAGGAGAATTATGATAATTCCCCTAAAACCAGGCCAAGTCCAAGGGACCAGCTGATGTAACGGTGCAACCGTTGCTATTTATTTTAGGAATGGAACCAACCAAATCTTACAAATATCTCAACAAAAAGCTACACTGACACTTTTGTCTTACATTTTGTCAAAGAGCCTTTAGTCCACATGTGGCAATGACAGAGGTTGTTAAGAGACCACTCAGGTGGTAATTTCAATGTTAAATCCTCAAAACACAACATCTCTAAATAAAGCTAAAAAATATGCTATGTTTAAGTATCAAAGACAAATTAAAATTCCATTTTAAATGGTGCTTCTCATGCTATTTCATTTAAGAGAAAAGAAAGACAGAAGTGCATTACAGTGAGCAAGAGCCAAGATGCTCCATTAAAATATCATGTTACTGTAATTGTTAAGTGATATATAAACCCTGTTGTCATGACTTCAATTAGCCATACTTTGCCTATGTTAATATTGTGAATACAACATTGAATGCTGATTCTATTACTACTTAATTAATATAAATATATTTAATGATTAGGTATGTGTTGTTAAGAACTACATAAAATGTGATTAACTGATCAGGAACCACAACGTATTAATCCTCCACACATTTTGTTAATAAATTCTTTTTGCAACCAGGGTAAACGTCAATTGGATTAAACATTTAGGCCCTGACCTAGCAATAATCTTTGAGAAATGGACCTCTACAAAGCCTCAATTAAGTCATGCAAAAGCAGAAGCAGCACATCAAGATTAGCTGGTATTATGAATGTTATCTTAACAACTTTTCCAAAATAGGATCAATCAACTCTCCTTGAATGGGATCGTAGCTTCTTTCTAGTTTCTCCATAAAATTAACGAGCATCACAAACAGTGAATAACTGAGATCTTCCCTTTATTACTTAAGAAAAATAAAATGCTATTTCTATTGGTGAAAATGTTGATTGATTACATCAATTTTACTGCCTTTATAACACAACATGAAAGAAAGAAAAGGAGCACAAGAAAAGAGGACTCTTGTTATATGTTAATTAACTGCCTGAATATTCAAGGATTTCAGATAAAATTGTGACAGCAAGAAATACTATCAGGATGACCTATTAACAGTACCCACTACAAATACTTGTTATATTGTGTGGGTCTAGATCGTAACACACTTCGGCAAATGGTCATTTTAGAAACTATGGACATCACACTGTATGAGAATCTTTTCCTTCTCAACTTCAAGTACCTGTATAATCTCATGCAAACACACAGCAAAAACGGATATGTATGTAATGGATTAGAAAAAAAAATAATCAGCAAACAAAGCACATTAAATACCATACCTCTGAGTCATAATCTTATAGGCATCTGGTAGATAACAGCGGATATTCTCCATCTGAGCAGGATCAGAGTCACAGATTTTATCATCAGTCCTACCATAGTTGGCACTTTCAATCATGATGACATCTGTTCCTGGGCAGCGAAGTTCTATTGGATAGCTCTCACAGGATAGTTCTCTTCGAACCACAGCCATGGGGACTGGGGCACGACTGAAAGCTGGAGAGGATAAAACAATAAATATTTCTTCAACACAGAGAAAAGAATACAAAAATAAAAGCAGAATTACTCTTGGAGGGTGGGGGGAATGGATGTACCGAATATCAAGACCCGTTTTAAAGCTGCCCTTGAAGCATGGTGGACACATCATTCAAGCAGGACTCCAGAGAGATTCAGTCTATTCCCAGCTATGTTACTGACCTCCTAGGTGACATTGGGCCCGTTGCCTTCCCTCCTGATACCCTGGTTTACCCACCTGAGAAATGGAGATAATACCACAAGCCTTCTTTGTAAAGTGTTTTGGGATCTCCTGAAGAAGAGAGGCCATATACAGTAGCTAAGAAATATACTGTTTTTATTACCTGCCTCATGCAAAACTATTTCACAGGTATGTTAGGTTCTATACCTCACTGAAGTTACATGTTAGTCTTCCTGAGCAAGTGGGGAAATTATCTCTCAACACTGCACTGTGCATCTCCCATGGAATTCTTTGCAGTCATAAGAACTTGCCTCAGGGTCCTTGGACAATATTTTTCTAACAAGCTTCTACAGTTTTAAGCACTGTGCCATGACTCAGATAAGTACTGCCATCCACCCCAGAGTTACCTTCATTGCTGGGATATTCTATGTACACACAGCCAAGGCTTACAAAAATGGGTGCCTAAGTATAGGCCAATACTCTTTATACTGGGAGTTGCTTACAGTGTTAATGTTTCTGGAAATCAAATCAACCATCGGAGCAGGGGGTTGGACTGGATGACCTCCTAAGGGCCCTTCCAACCCTAACTTACTCTGATTCTATGTCTAAATGTAGACTTATAAGTTTACATTTGGGCGTAACCATTTGGAAACCTTGGCCACAGTTTGAAAAGCATTTAAACGTACTTTGAGGGGTTGCCCCATTGCTTAGTATTACTTCACAGTCAATGTCCCTGTCACCTGCTGGTAGGATTCAACATCAGAAACAAAATCTGCCCTGTGTTGAAGTCAGTAGGGGTTTTAATGTCAGGTTAAGTGGAATCTGAGTACAGCAAACACTGCACAATTTTGAAAACCCCTGCCCCACAGCACTTAGCCCTGGCACTGCATATTTCAGGATATGAATGACCATAGGAATCTGGGTGCATTTGGCTGTGCTTGGAGAATTGGGATGTGTGTCAGGTTGTTGTTTGTGGAACACATCCTGTGTGACCTTCCTGTCTGTGGGTCACTAGATTATATCACATGATATGCTTTACATTGTAAAAGTCTCTTTGTATTTCCCTCGCATTCTTGTTCTGATTAGGTTTCTTCCATATGAATAGGAATCTCAGCAGTTCAGGGAGCGCCTTTTTCTTTCTCAATGAGAGACTAGCTCTCTCATCCATATAGGAAACTGTATTCCTCTACCCACCCGCAAACACTAACCACTGCAATTGACTGACTAGCAAGCAGAAGCCAAGTATATTATATTAATTTTGTAAATCCTTCTGTTATTGTAAACTGTCTTGTTATCAATTTGTAATTGGCGCAAGTAAATATATCCCACTGGTTATTAGTTTGTAGGGATTACTCTAGGATCAGAGTTCAACTGCTGCATCAGAGAAGAGGTCAAATCATCATGAGCTGCTGGAAGAGGCCTGCCTGTTCCTTCTGCAATTTCCCCACTTCCTATTCTTTTTTGGAGTTCAGCGCACACAATAAGTAGCACCCACCAGTTTGACACAAGGAATGTTACATAGCTTGGGTGACAGTAGCATTACATCTGAAAGAACACCCTGCTTTCTATAATAATGTGCTGAAAGCAAGAGAGGAAGCTTTCATGTTTGCATCTATTTTCTTCAGCGTTCCCATTTCCACAGGTGGCCAGAGAGGTTCTGTAGCAGAACTGCATGTTCTGGAAAGAGTTGTGGTAAGTCCCCATGGGAGCAGTTTTTAATACCTATTACTGACTGCTTGAGCAGACTGGCTGAACTGCAGACGAAAGCCTTCTGGCAGTTTTTGGCATGGACTGGGGATCCAGTTCACCCCCTCCTATCACCATGTGCTCAGAGAATGCTTCTCCGATGCCAGAGATAGCGGCAAGATGAAGCTCCAATCAACATAAAGCTATTTATGGCCGGGCTTTGGAGCTGTGTTTCTTGGCCAGCTCCCTGGGCAATCTGTATTCTTCTCCTGGGGTAGATAGTAGCCATCTGTGTTTTACGCAAAACAAATGAGGAAGCTTGAAAAGGCAAGGGATGTCTCTGCCCCATTTCAGAGGGGGGCCTTGGCATACCCATGGACTTTAGCAGTTTAAAAGGCATAATCTATTCCTTTGCAAACACCCCAGCAAAGAGTTTTACACTGCATATTTTGCAAACAGTGTTTCAACTTTTGCCCATCTTGAAGGGGTTTTGGGCCACAAACCCATGTTGTCAAAACAAAAACTGGTATTAAAAATATAATCACAAGGGAATACCAAGTTAAAGCAAATGGAAATTACCTGATCAAGCACTGGTTATGCAAACATGGCACATTTGCCGAAGAGCGTATACTGTTGAACCCAACATGTATAACAGCTGTTGGGAGTTATTACTCATCATACACTTTTGTTAAATCAGTTTATCTATGGTTTATCAGAGGTTCATCTATGGTTATGAAGACTGACAATGTTGTCCTAACCCTATGTTAACTCTGTAGGCAGTAACAGTGCAACATTTGAGGCTCATGTTGGAGGATTTGTTTTTAAAGTTAATAGGAATGTTCAGATGATAAATAGAAAGCAGCAATGCTAGTTTTTGAAATAAGTAATAGAGTAAATTTCAGTTTCTTACATATAATGCAACATACACGAGGAAGCTGAAGACTTTATGGCATTGATCTCCTGCAGCTCCATAAAGTTAATCCTCAATACAATGCCTTCAAGGAGGCGTTTCCATTTTACCTCCCATTAATGGACAATATAACGCCAACCTATTATGTTCTAGACCAGGCTCAAGTATTTCCTAACATGATTTTTGATGGATTTGAAAGTTTTTGGATATCAGCTATTCAAGCAATGATTTCTTAAGGATGTCAGGGCTCACGCTCACAAAGACCATGTTAGTTTCTAGATACCACATTGTGGCACCTGGGATACAGCAGTTATGCTTGAGGTTACCTCCATATAAGCTCCCACCATTGAGCCACAGGTTACCCTCTCTCATAAGCAAACCACCCATCTTTGTAATCTCCACCCCCCTCACACAGATCTTTATTTTGTCTCCGAACTAAACAACCTGATTGTCATTTTAATACCAGTGAGTCTTCAAGGCTTTTGAAAGTTAGGTACCTTATTAGGAGCTTAAATGAAAATGTCAGAGCTTAACTTTATTTTTGAAAACTTGGTCTTAAACACTTGAGGAAGAGAATTCAGCAATAAGAGACTACTACCTCTTAGAGCATGAATGTTGTATCTTATTATCCACCCCTTGTTTCATTTGTTTGCTGACACCATTGTAATGAGATGGGACGACAATTGTAGTCATGTAACTACCTGTATGCAATGGCACTCCATGCCCCTAAAATTACACCAAGCAAAGCAACAGTTGAGTGTGAGACAGTAACAGGTAATGACAGGTTTTAGCGAGGCAATTTAGAATTTCTTTTTCTTTGTTAATTTTAGGAGTTGGAAAATTAACTAAGTCATCAAAATCTTGTGCTCTTTTTTTTTCCCTTCTCACTTTTGACCTCAGAACATAATTACCTCTTGTCTTGCCTGCAGGGCATTGGCTTGTCGTTATCACTATGTGCTTAATCAAATGCTAAAATAGCCTTTAAATTATGTGTATTCTTGGTTGCTACAGACTTGTTGAGCTTCCTTAGAGTTACAAGCACGATGGCAGCAGATGTACTTTTAAAGAAAGTGTGGGCTGATGCTCTTAATTAGGTTCCATGTGTAATTTTCCCAGCACAAGCTTCTGGACTAGATTTTCAAACTGAAGTTTAAGTGTACATTTAGGAGCAATGATGCACAAAGCTGTACATACACATAAAGATTATTTTCACAGGCCCTCTACTACTGAAAATACAGCATTCAGATTTCACACAAGTATCTGGGATACTTCTCTCAAACAAAAATGTAATGCATCATTCCCCCCCACTACAAAATTCAGAACTACAGATTCACACCTTGCCCAAGTTAAACATGAGCTCGAGTGCTTTCCAAAATCAGCTTCCCAATTAGAATACTTCCCTCTTTCTACTAAAGAGTATCAGCATCCTCATTTGCAATGTGCAAACATAATTCTGAGGGCTTCCTTTCCCTTCCTGTAGTCCAAACTCAACCAAGCTGTTGTTCTTAACAATTCAGTGGCAAGTGTTGAAGTGATTACTTTAAGGATAAGAACAACTAATGTTTGTTCAATTTAAAATGTTTCCTCCTCCTCTAAACCCCTTTAATTGTTCACAAATAGTAATTTGGACTTGCCAAGCCCACGCCTCTGAAATATTAGTTCTTCAATACTGAAATAACATACACATGACTGTAATACAAGGATAGATAGAAATTTCCCACCCTTCCCCTGACCTTCCCCATGTAAGATGATGATAAAGACAATTGGAATCACATAGGCTTTTTATATATTATACTGTGATGAGGTAACCCCCCCCTAACAACACCTTTGGTTCCTGAACAAGAAAAATAAAGACAGAAAGAGGAGCTTGTGCCAACCTCACACTGCAACATATGCCAGCAATATCAATATCAGCTTCCTTTGAAGACTGGCATTTCAGCGTAATATACACATACAAAAGGAAGGGCTCACGACTGCATTACTCCAATTTTACACTGGCATGATTTCATTGACGGAGCTATTTCAGCATAAAACTGCAGTAACAGAAAATTCATCTCTAACGCTAGTACTTCAGGAGACCAGGCGTTAAAAGTATGCAGAGATTGAAGTGTGAAGCAGTAACAAGAGGACATGCCAAATGGCGCCTTGTGAACCGCTACAGCTGGAAACACATGCAGCAAATCACAGGGAAACAATACCCACCCA